ACCCTGAGGCGGATCTCGCAAACCGAATCAAAATTTTCCGGCCGGAGCTGGTCGAAACATGAAAAGTTAGTTAACAGAAGCGTTCGTAACCCGAGGTTCCACTGTATTTTGAATTTAAGTACTGATCACAGATATAAGGAAGCAGCATGAATCTGAGAATGTCATTGGACATTCAGTATACACTATATGTTTTTGCAGTTGGGTGCAAACTAATAAAAACTGTGACAAATAATTATAGTCCCTATGTTTTCTAATTTGATTCTCAAAGGAAAAACAGATGATATATATCAATGGGTGGAGAATCAGAGTGATCAATAACAATACTGCTGTGTGTGTGGAAGGAAAACGGAGGCAAGTGACTGCTTTTCAATTTTGTTCAAATATGTCTATATGATTTTTAATCACTGCCATGGATGGCCCTTGGATTTAGTCTTATTGAATTATTTTATTGGATTTATTTCTATAAGCTAGACTTCTGTAAGTTTCTCTCAGAGGACCCTAGAGCAATTTAAAAGAAAAGGAAAGACAAGTTACAAATACAGTGAACCTCACAAGCAATAAAAAACAAAAGAAAGCAAAATAGGCAAACTTAAAGTTGTTACATACATTTAGCAGTGGACAGCTTTGTAAGAATGAAAAGTTGAGTTTGGATTGATTCCTTGATCCTGTTTTCCAATTAATGCTATAGATGACAGAATTATCTCTTCTCCTGTGCTATTTTTTGAAAATCTTGGTATCCAGCTCCCTCTCTTCCTCCCTCTTTTCCTTTGCCAGCCTACATTTTGTGAAACTAAAAAGATGGGGTTTAGGTACTAAATCGTAGTAATCCTTGCTGGGCATTATCATGTGAATGATTGATTAGCTGTGATTATCAACTGAATTCTCTCATGTATTCCTTTTATTTGCATTCTACCTTTCTGTTTAATCTGAGCACATAAAGTAGCTTACAATTTAAGTTCCTGAGAGAAAATTGAATATATTTTAGATATTACCTACATCTTGAATAGGCTTATGTATTTATCAAAATGTATTACTTCTGTCTGGTCCATCTTATACCAGTTAGATAAAACAATTAACAAAGGCTTTAAACCCTTTTATAATAAATTCAAAAAGTGCCTGCGACTGTTTCTTCATAAGGAAAATACCTGACAAGTCTGTCTTCTTCACAGAATGAAATACATAATTCATGATATAAAATGCATACATTGCACCCCATAATAATATGATTTGTCTAGAAAATCATTTTATCACAGAGTACTTTTTAGTTCTTCAGTTCAGATTCATAAAAGGGAGAAAGAAATTATAATGGACTCATGTCACTTTTCCAGCTGGGATCCTAAGGAAGTATAATGATGAGATTCATTCTTATCTTATTATGATACTATACTTTGTTCCCTTTTATTTTAGAGATAAGAAGAATATCTTCTGGCATAGTAATGCAATTGTAGAACGAATTGGACACAATCAAGTCAAAACCTTGTCAGGAAATGTCTACATATTAGAAGGGCGTATTGATGCAGTTAACATGAAGAAAGAAGGTAAGAGAAAAGGAAAACCACAGTGACAGCCTGGAATTCTTAATAATAGTAAATAATAAAAAAACTTCTTATGAGGATGGCTTCTATCTTGCTGCTTCTTTTCCATCTGTTTATGCTGACCTAACTTCAGCTGACCTGTTACCCAAACTGTCAATCTCTAGCAGTTATTCATGAGTAGATCTTTTTCCTACATTAGGAGCCATGTGGTTGGCACCTGTACAGACTAAAACAGGATAACACATATAAGTGCTAGTACTGATCACTGTGCTGCTGAATGCAGGTAATTTATTACTTCCAGTTCCCTTCTGGTGTTTGATGAAATCTAACAGCAGCACATGTCTGATCTGTGCTTGTCATATAAGGTGGTAAAACTATACCACATTGCTAAATATTAATTTATTTCAAATGATAGCTTGAATAAGTAATAGTATTTGCAGTAAAGATTTAATATATTTATTATACCTTTTGCTAAATTTGCTTAAGTGACTGTAAAATGATGATGATGATGATGATGATGATGATGATGATGATGATGATGATGATGTTTGAAATAAAGGGCAGAACTTTGCCATTCTAATTTGCAAGGGGTACAGAAATCTGTATTCTCATTTTATTTCTGTATCTTACCCAATATGATCTAAGTTGCTTTCCAAGCTGATGTGCTCCCTGCATCTCAAAATTGGCTTTTCTAATTTAATGCTGATGATTGTGCGATAGTAGAGTCAACTTGAGTAGAGTCTTGGATGTCAATAACCTCTAAAATATATAACTTTCTTCTGTCTAGAAGTTGCCAAGATGACATTTGCATAAAAACAAATGTAAGCATTATGAAAAGAGAGAGGCTGTAATAATGATTTGAGACAGTTTGGGATTTTCTTAAGATTCTGTAATCCTGTAAGATTATCCCTGTTTTGATCTCCTCCAAAGGTTTGAAAAATGGGTATATGAAGCACCCTTCTAAAACATAACAACTGTCCAAAGGCTATACCTTTGTTTCAAACAGGAATACCATCTAAATTCATAAAGAGGTTTGGGACTGGAATCCCAAGAAACTGGAAAATGCTTGTTGATGATTTGCTTCATTATTTGAAAAGGTCAGTGTCACTTTAAACTATTTATGTTTTTGAATCATTGAGATGGATGTCATTGTTGGTAAGAATTTCTTCTTTGAAGTATTTAAGAAAAACATTGTAAAAGGTCTACAACATTTATTTATACTGTTGTATTTCATGTGTGACCTCAGGTAGTTTGTACTAATTTTATCCTTTTTATCTTGGGTCAATTTCTAGAGTATTAGTAGAAATGCTAATTTCTTTCTAATTAGTATTAAATACTAATTTAATACTAAGTTCCCCAAATTGCAGTCAGTAATGTTTCAGTGGGAAGACTAGTTATCTTTGTTTGAAAAAGAGCAAATTTGATACGGGGACTTTGTGGGCATCCAGGTCTGCTTCTCCAAACCCCTATGGCAGGCTTGGGGAAACTCTTTTCTGCAGGGCTGAATATAACTACAGGGTGTTCCCTATTTAATTCAGTAGGCTCCTTTCTGTGGCCCTATTATGCTCCCTTGCAGTTGTCAAAAAGAGAGAAAAGGGCTGGATGAAATGCTATGAAAGTGCTCCTTTTCTTCTTATCGAGGGAAAAAATCTAGTGTATCCTGCTGTGATCTGTTTTGTCTTGCCCCGCTCTAATCTTTTCCCACTTGCTTTCTTCTGTCAGTGACAGGGAAGGGTAAAAGGATTGCATTTCTCTATATGTGGGAATTAGGAAAAATTGCCCAAATGTTATGTCCTATAACACATATACAGAAGCTCAAATAAATCATTACTTTCACTGATCAGAAAGATGAGAGGACATCAGATATAAAGGTTTTGGAGGGAAATATATCTATGCTGCCGCAATCATTGAAGTAACTTTAGACCTGCTAGAGGTGGGTTCCTTTTTCATCACTTGCCTGAAATCTAAGCCAGGCAAGAGGAGCTTCAGCTTGTAAACCTCTAGCCCATGAGACTGCCCCATTCAAGCATGACATCTCTCTTCTACACATACACTCCTGCTCTCAGTCCATTCCATTGTACTTCATGTACACCTTATTTCTTCCCCTTCTCCAGAGAAAGGGGGGAACACTTGACACCAGTAGATAACTGAGGAAATATAGGAGGCTTCTGCTGATTTTTCAAGTACAGTGGTACCTTGGTTCACGAACCTAATTCGTTCCGCGATTCTGGTCGCGACCCGAATTGGTCGCGACCCGAATCAAATTTTCCCATAAGGTTCAATGTAAATATGGTTAATCCATTCTGACCCCTATGAATTTGGTCGCCAACCGATTTTGGTTGTGACCCGAATCAAATTTTCCCATAAGGTTCAATGTAAATATGGTTAATCCATTCTGACCCCTATGAATTTGGTCGCCAACCGATTTTGGTTGTGACCCGAATCAAATTTTCCCATAAGGTTCAATGTAAATATGGTTAATCCATTCTGACCCCTATGAATTTGGTCGCCAACCGATTTTGGTTGTGACCCGAATCAAATTTTCCCATAAGGTTCAATGTAAATATGGTTAATCCATTCTGACCCCTATGAATTTGGTCGCCAACCGATTTTGGTTGTGACCCGAATCAAATTTTCCCATAAGGTTTCAATGTAATTACGGTTCATCCATTCTGAACCATATGTATTTTTTTTTTTAAACCACAAAAATATGACACAAAGTATAGTACAAAGAGAGAGAACGCTAACCTTGCTCGATGCGATTTCTGGCATGGAGGACAGGAAGGTGGGTGGGGAGGCGGTTATTGCTTGGAGGGAGAGTCCCCCTCCCTACAGGAAGCTATGACCATGTGTCCCGGTAGGGAAAACGGCCGCGGATCCTGTTCGTCACCCAATCCGGCGTTCGCGAACGGAAGCAACATTTTGTGAACGGTGCTGTTCGTGACCCGAATTGGTCGTGAACAGAAGCGTTCGTGACCCGAGGTACCACTGTATATGCTGTAGTGGCAGGGCTGAACCTATAGGGTAAAAGTGAGAGGTTTCAGCCTTCCTGTCCCAGAAATGCTCTGGGTTTTCCACACCTGGCCATACTTTCCTGCACATTGGGATAGCTGCTTCATAGTTATTGTTGCTACCACCTATCTCCCAGGGGAATGCTTTCACCTAGCCTATAGCCTTACAGCAAGTAACAGAAAAAATAAAGTGATTAAAAATGAAATAATTGTAGTAAAGTGGTTAACAATGAAATAATTTCTGTAGCACCACCTTCTAGGAAGTGTGTGACGTGGGAATTCAGTTCTCTTGCCATTGGGAGATAGCATGGTCTTACAAGTGATAAATATAATTATTTTATTAAAAAAAAACAAAAAGAGAAAATAAAAATACCTTTCATTGCTTTTAGTAGTCACATGTAAAACATGCCATGGCAAAGGAGATAAATATATATCACCATTCAAAACATAGCATCTGAAAAGGATATGCCATAAAAAACCTTTAAAATACAACATAAGATTCTTACCAGACATATAACGATAAATGTACTAATAAAAAAGTAACACTGATGAAAAGAGGTGGTAAATATCAGAAATTATAAACTAACTAGCATTAACTAGCAGACCCAGATAATAAATCGCTTGATGCAATTCTTAGCTAACTTTAGCTCTATTCTTCTAGAGGCTAAATGACTTGGAATAGATGTTACTTATATGCCAATTTTCCTTCCTGCTTCCCACAAATTCCAGTTTAACTCCAAGGTTGCAGGAAAAACTTGATGCTTCCGCCCCCCCCCCCCCCCCCCCCCCCCCACACACACACACATACACCTTGGCACGCTTTGCTCCTTTTCTTCCAGAGTTCTAACTCAGATTTTTTCAAGACATACACTTTTTAACTGGAATAGGGAGAATTTGGGGAGAATCTCTTCCTGCATACCTGAGCAGGAGTGTATCACACTTACAAAGATTCCTCTTGAACTTATGAACTAATTAGCAAACTTATGGACTTAGCAAAGACTCAGGGAAGATTGTTTTATGTATGGTAACTGCAGCGAGATTATTATATGTAATTATTATATACAAAGATGGAAAGTTTTGGAAATACCTACAATGGAGGAATGGTTGGTGAAGGTGATAGAATTTGCAGAAATGGCAAAGTTGACTTGTTTGGTTAGGGAAAAGACAATAAGTACATTTATTAGTGACTAGAAACCCTTTATGGACTTTTTGCTGGGAATGGAAAAAAATGAAATGGTGATTTATAGAACTGTTGATTAGAAAGAGTAAAACATAGAAGAGAATCATGATATAAACTTAAAGAGGGAGGACAGACAATAAATATATTTGTAACTGCTGTAAAGAAGATTGGAAGCCGCTTTATACTTCTTTTCTTTTCCTCTTTTTTTCTTTATTCACTATTTTTCTTTACTCTTTTTCTTAATTGTGTATTGTTTTTACTATTCTATAAATTTTTTCAGTAAAAATTAATTTTAAAAAAAAGGAAGATTCCACTTGAGAAGCTTATGTGCTGTTTGCAGCCAACAGTTTGGAATCTTGTGAAGGTAGGTTGCTTCAGGACATGTGCCTTCTCTAGCTGCTTTAGACAGAGTCATAGGAAACAAAGATGCTTCTCTCTGAAGAAATGGATGACAGCAGGGGTTAGGGTTATTGGAATTGCCTCCCTCTGTTAAAGACAGCCTTCTAGAACAGGTGGGGGTCTGGATAGGCATCTCAGGCTTGATCTAATTCCGTATATTTGACCTAAGCAAACTGCTTCAGAAAGAGCTCTCCTTGTGTGTCTTCAGAAAGTAGCTGCTGCAGCATGATTACTGGTATCAGTGTTTAAACTTTTTAGATATAATATTTATGAAAAAATTAAAAGATTGAGGTGATTAATGCTACTTACCCAAACCTTTAAATCTTAGGAGAGAACAGCGAGTGTTTCCTGTAAGTGAGGATAGCAAAAAAAGAGAAACCAAATGCTCAGAAGAACTGGATCTGCCCCAAAATATTGAGAGAAAATATAAAATGAAAGACACCACTTATAATGTATTGCCACTGCAAAATAATGAAATATGTGGTAGGTATATTCTTTCCTTTGTTTGTGGAGGATTATGATAGCAAAAAAGTATTTTCAAAAATACTGTTGTATTTATGATGTTCCCATCCCCCAGTAACTTCTATGAAATTTACATTTGTTCACAATGGGAGCAACTATTGAATCCAAATGGGTGGGAGGTGGAAATGGTTGCAGATATACTGAGAAATGCTAAAATGCTTTTGAAGATCAGCAGTTGCTTGGGAATGGCTTGCCTGGTGAATTTTAACTCTTTTTGCGAAATCTAAACAGTTTCTCTTTTCTTCCCAGTCTAATTACATCATGCCCCATTTCCAGCCAGTTTTATACTCCCCTTCTCTTTCCTCCTTCCCCAATGCAGCTGCCTCTACCTCTAGCCCAGATGTCCATCGATTTTTGCCCCTTCATTTTGCTGTTTCTGTTATTAAAAAAAAAAGCGGGGGGATGAGCGTGTACTTTTATGTCCTTATGTGTGATAATGATAAGAGATCAACACTGGTATATACATATGTGAAATCAATGGAATTTTAAAATAAGGAATCTTATTTCAAAAACAATTAATTTTAATGTAATGATTGCAATTAATATCCTCTTTTTCATGGCTGTGCCTTTTTGTGGAATATAACTTTTGCAGTGCAGCTGAAATGAACGTTAGAAGGTTATACTACAGCCACCCTTCATTTAGCAGCTACCTCGTTTAGTGACTGTTGTGAAAGAATCCATATCAGCAGTATTACACAACACACCCGACTTAACCAAATACACCCAGATCAAAATACCCAGAATCATGG